TTACAATGAAAAGATTCAAAACTATGACTAGATGAGGGATTTCAAACGGTCAGGGAGTCATTGGAAAGTTGTTTTCAGCTTCTCTAAAGATTTGGAGCCTAATTAGGATTTGTTGGATTCACTCGTCCCGAATTTTTGTTTTTGTTGTTTGGGGAAAAGTATTAATAGTAATTAAATGTTAGGATTCAAATATGCAATGTCTCCAAAAGAAAGTTTCCTGGTTTTCAACTTTCAAACACGTGCTCTTTTTCTGTTTTTTGCTCAGCAAAGTTTTTGGAGAAGGAAACGCAGAACTCTTTTGTTCGTCTGTGAATCAGGTTTATCATCTCATATTTTAAAACAAAAGTCTAAAACATATTTGCAGACTGTGGTCTTAAGAGGGTCTGTGCTAGTTTTGGTCCAAATATGGAAGAAACATGAAACAATGATGGTCACATCTACCATGTTGGTGAGTCTTGGCCCTAATTAGCAGAGACTAAAACAACACCATCAACATCTCGCTGACTCAAGAGGTTTTTCTAGCTAATTTTTGAACAACTGTAACAACGTTGTCTCAGATTTTATGTTGGACTCTGCACCACCGCAGGGCTCTTTTTTTTTCCGAACAGACGAGCAAAAAAGAAAAGCAGCTTTTCTTTTTCTTCGTCTCCGAGAGGCCGAGTGTCTCATGAATAATCTCAAAACCTGAAAAGTCTTCAGGCAGCTGCTGCCTTTCTGCTGTCAGGTGAAAACAGACTTTGGCACAGAATGACGAGCGGCTGAGTCCTGGTCGGGGAGGCAGAAAGCTGCCAGTACCGTACTCAGAGGGACCCCTCCACTCTCTAAAATCCACAGTGCATTATAGAGCCATATCTCTCTGGAACCAACTGCCAATAACCACACGAAGAGTTCAGAACAGAACAAGCTTAAAAAATATACTGTCTTCAGAACTACTGCAGATGAACTGACCTGTGTATACAGGACTGTCTCAGAAAATTTGAATATTGTGATAAAGTTTTTTATTTTCTGTAATGCAATTAAAAAACATGAAATGTCATACATTATGGATTCATTACAAATCAACTGAAATATCGCAAGCCTTTTATTGTTTTAATATCGCTGATTATGACGTACAGCTGAAGAAACCCAAATATCCTATCTCAAAATATTAGAATATCGGATTTTTTAGTTTTCTTCAGCTGTACGCCATAATCAGCTATATTAAAACAATAAAAGGCTTGCGATATTTCAGTTGATTTGTAATGAATCCAGAATGTATGACATTTCATGATTTTTATTTGCATTACAGAAAATAAAGAACTTTATCACCATATTCTAATTTTCTGAGACAGTCCTGTATATGTTGTATAGTTCTACTTTTGTTAATGGTTTTATTATTTCCTACTGTGATTTTTATTTGTATTTTTTATGATTTGTTTATAATGTAATATAATTTCTTCATGAGGGGACCCCACGAAGACTCGTGGCCATTTATTTGGCAGCTAATGGGGATGCTAATAAAACTTAACCAAACTAAACTAAGCTCCTCGGAGGAGGTCTCAGAAATGTGTCGGGCAGAAGTGTGCGGATGGAGATTTTTCATGTGCGTGTTGTCGGCTTCTGGCTGTTTTTGGGAGGTTGAGACGTGAACTGTGGCAGCCAACCCAGGATGTGCAATAGGAGCCGACGAGGGCATTATTATGTTAAAACCTTCTTCATATGAGACAGAATTTTCACAGATTTAGAAAATGCTTGTAGAGATAACGGCTCTTTTTGACGCTGGGATTATTTGGGCCTGTTGGAGCTGGAGGACGAGTTGGTGGCTTCAACAGCCGAGTTTATCTGTAATTAAATTTAAAAATCCTGTCTCCTCAGTTTGAATTAGTTACAATTTAAGCAAGAAGTCAGTGGAATAAGTTGTTTCTACAATACAGAGTTTGCAAGAACTTCTAAAAGTATTAATTCACACTAACTTATTATTTATTGTAATTCGCTGCGGAGATTAGAACATGAAAAAGTAAAAAAACTTTAAATTTATTGCCACAGATTTATTTGATTTAGTTCCTGAGGAGTGTGTGTTTACTGACCCTCTTGTCCCATCGACACACAGGTCTGAGGCTGCTTGGCATTGGGAGAAACCAGTACATCGACCTGATGAACCAGTGCCGGTCTTCTAAGGTAAGATGGGCTCAACGTGCCCCGGAAAATCAGAGTTTTAACAAACGGAAATCCAGTTACAGTTCACCTGGATGAATTGGCACAAAGAGCTTTTCCAAACTGTCATGTGGTAAAAGAAGTAATGTCCCCAGATTCCAGCCCATCAAACTGACTTTTTAAAACATGGTCATGTGATTAAAACAGCATTTTTAATAAAGGGGGGTGGATTCTGGAGTTAATGGTAAGTTTTATTATGCCTAAAGGCCTCTTTAACAAGCATCTAATTCCCTTTTCAGAGTTAATGAGAGTGCAGCTTGATGGTTTTACCAACAATCAGATGCGAAGCAGGTGGTTTGTCTTTTTCATTTATGTTAATGTTTTAGTTCCTCAAATTAAAACCTCTAATTTTAGTTAAAGATAATTAGCAGACTTCAGGCTCACTGTTATAATTTTCCTTGCTGATTCACAGATTAGGAAATTATGCTGATTGCTGTTGTAGAATGGTCCTGAAAAAAGAAATAAGCACACATTAAACACATTTCTGTCCCTTGTTTACCTGTTTAATTCTGCTTTTTATTAATCGGTGTAGATAGCCACTTGATCTAGGACGAGCTGTCAGTGGATGTCAGGCATGTGTCTATAAAACTGAGACATTGGAAAGATTTAAATTTGACATAAAGGTGTTTTTCATTTCAAATTCTGGTTTGGTTATTATCCAGAAGAATCTGTATTATACTATACCGTTGGAGGAAAGTTTAAAATAAATTTGAAATCTATATTTGAACCGTTTTTGGGGTCTGGAAATGTGTACACATTAGATATAACCCCATTCTATGTGAATTCATACCAGTTAAATGGATTTCATGGGTCCTCTTCGACTGTGAACACTTGCTAATTTAAAATTTCCTCACATTCTTACTTGCGCTTTTTTCTATTCTTTTTAAAATTTTTATTGCCACCCTGTTTGCTTCCTTTCTACAGAAATTCTTCCGCAGGAAATCAGCGCGGGACCTGCTCCCAGCCAAACCGGTGGAGATCTCGGTGGAGCCGTGGTGGGTGGCGCAGACCGGATACATCACCGAGGACGACATAAGGGTGAGAGGAAAAAGCACGTGCACGTTCAGACCCAGTTTTATTTCAGCAATACCAGCTTTCCTTTATAGTCCCCAAAAGGAAAGACTCTCCTATTTCCAAAAATAAAAGATTAATCTGCAATATTAACCAAATAACAAAACAATTATAGATATAGTTCTTAATGTAAAAGAAGATGTGATGAAGAACATTTAAAGAAAATGTTCTGGGATGTCAGGAAACATCAATGTGTTAGAGGACAAACTGAATTTGGCTGCTAGACCTTTTCACTTAGGAGATAGAAGACTTTACGAACATTCAAGAGGACAACTCAATCACACAAGGAAAAAAAAGAGAAAAGAGAAGAAAAACACAATGACGGAAATATGAAAGAAAAGCTCATAGAAAGAAAAGCTATCCAGAGGTGGTCTGGTTCCAAGGACCCGAGTAGAAAGAAAAGATGGAAATATGGAAAAACATTAGTGCAATAAGGGGAACACAGGTCATAAAAAGTGTTTTAAGATGCCCATTTCTAGCTTTAGTTGAGATTTATTTGTCTAATTATTATATTTAGGAGGTGGAAGAACTTTAAATGTTGACTGATTTCTATTAATATGTAATATCTATCAGTTCATCCATCAACTCTCACAGAAACAGCAGAGCAGCTGTTGTTTGCTAGATTTGATTTGTAGCTATTTTTTAGCTATTTTGTTTTCTCTAACGTTGTATTTTTATTGGGTTTGATTGCAGATCTGTTCTCCATCTGAGAAGAAAGCCATTGATAAGATGATAGATACAGGTCCTCAGCTGGCCGGATCGATGGAGTACAACGTAGTCCTGAGTGAGTGTTCTTTTTTTAAATCTTATTCACTTTTGTCTCCCTCTTCTGGCAGTGAGCATTATAACCTGAACCTCCAGTTTGTGGAGTGTATTCAGTGTTTAGCTTCTCCAGAGACCTTGTCTTATTCTTAAAAAAACAAAAATCTTGAGTATCAGGAAGGTTTTTGGAACAATGACTGGGTTTTTCCTCCAAAGACTCCACAATGTGCTGCATACTACGTTTGTGTTCCTCTTAAAACTCCAAAAACGAAATTTCAAACGTGGATCTGCTCCCAGCTAAGGAGGGATTTGGCTTCCTAATTATTACACGAACTCATTTGGGAGAAGCTTCAATTAAACAGCGTTAAGTTAAATGCAAAATCTCCCCCCCTCAGCTAAACATTGTTTAAATAAGATTTCATAAGGGGGAGATTTTCCTCGCACACATTGTGACGTCTTAACAACAACTTATTAGATGTCATTTGTTTAGCTACAGTCGTGTGTAGAATACTTTAACTGTATTACTATATTACTGCTTTTATACAGGTTTGTACAACCGGGGCTTCATCTACCTGGACGTTCCCATATCA